CAATTAAAACATGATTACATTTGCATTTGATGTTGAGGTGTTGAGATTTGTCCATGAGCGTTTTTCAGATCAGCCACAGTTTCTGAAGATGTTGTTTCAGCCAGCAGTTCTGATAAGCTTGTACAGAAAGTTCTCCGGTGGGGTGGGTGCGATAGATGAAGCTTTTGTCCTTGGTTACCCATGACCCAGGAGAAATTTGATAGTCGGCCCATTCTGAGGCCGTCAGGAGTCAGATTCAGATAAGCTTTGATTGTTGTTTTTCTTCAGGCAGACAGATTACTTTTTCTTCTGCCATGAGTCCATCTGGGTGTTCTGGTTCCAAAATGACCTAATTGTGGGAATCCATTCCACTGATCCATGCTATGAGTCACCTTCAAGGTCGACCCCACCACGCTGACGAGTCCCAGAAGCCGCAGGTGGCCTGCGATGCTCATAAATTGCCTCCACCTTACGGTTTAGCTCGTAAACCAGATGATTCAGAGTTCCTACAGCACAGACCAAACCTTCACACTGACTCGGAGGCTTTGCCATGGCCAAAACTGCTGCCGATGTCTTCTTCAAAAGTCGATAAAACAGAGCCCCACCGATGCCAAAAACCAGAGTCCCTGCTATCATAAATCCTAATCTACACATGTCTTCAGCATCCTCCTGAGACAGGACTGAGAGGCACATCAGCTGCCACACTCCCCACATGACGTACCCCACAGCGTGAGTCTCAGCTGGACACACCAGTTCTCCAAGACATTGTTGCTTTGATGAAAAAAGCTTATCAATAGAGTTGAATGCCTAGGATACCAGATCCATAATCTTCTTAATTTACGTTCGGGAGATGTGAACCAGGCGCTTCAGATACACAGAGAGCAGAGCAGGAGGAAGGAAAAACGAGGGAGGAAAGACAAAAGCAGCCACCTCGATCAGAGCCAGGGAGGAAAAAAAAAAAGCAAATACTTGTTAGATACTCTAAAAGTTGTGGTGGTGGTTGAGCATTGTTCTCAGTCTGTGGTGAACCATGTTGATAAGAGGTCTTCAAATAGGATGAAATATTGTGACATGCCAAAAAATGCCATTCCAGATGCAGAAAGAAGGCCACTTGCATCATGAAGGACCCCACTCACCCAGCACACACACTTTTTGCCCCGCTCCCCTGAGGAAAGAGGTTAAGGAGCATTAAGTGTAGAACCACTAGACTGAGGAACGGTTTCTACCCTGAAGTTGTTAGACTCATGAATCTCTAACCAGAATAATCACTGTGAAAAAAATCACTGTACTGCCACTTTGATTGTTGATATGTGCTGCTGATTATCCATGCTGCTGATTTATTTCAGGTTGCTGTATTCATTCGTACTCATCTGCTCACACAGACTCATGTTCGTGCTGCTGTTGTTCACGGTATTGTTTTGCACTGTGTTTAGCGTATTTCTTTGTGTCTTAGATCTTATTACGGTTTTTCTTTACAATTTATATTTTTGCTATTGTTGGATGTAACTGGGACCTTGTGTACACAATTTCATTCCACCTCATGCACCACATGTGATGCAAATGACAATAAAGAACCTTGACCTTGATCAACCTGAATATAAACACCAACACAAAATTAACACAACCAACAGGAACGACCCATCTGAACACAGAACCTGAAAAAGTGCACCCATTTCTTTCCCAACATTACCCAGAATGCCCTGCAGCTCAGTCTCATACGTTCAGGGTACAAGACGTAGTTTCAATAATTTTGACTAAAATGTAACAGTGACCCACATAAATGACTGTTTCCATAAAAATTCATCATGTAATGAAACCAAAACACAACTTTAATAATGAAAATGATCAATATAAATCTAAATTAGATTTTTAACAGTTGATATTTAATTTTTTAAACAACCATAATTTCTGTGTTGATTTTTGAATTTACAGATTGCAATTGAAAGCATCGCAAATCTTCACCTGATCAAATAATCATTTGCAAGGCCTTCTTGAAGGATCAGAACCCTGCGTTTCAGCCCCGCCCACTCTACATCATCATTCTTATTGGTGAATGATCCTGTCAGTCATTAAACAAACTCCTCCTGCAGAGACTGACTGAGCTCAGCCTTCTCTGCTGACAGTGAAGTCCTGACCAATGAGAAAGAACCTTCAAACATTTTTCTGCCTGGATTCAAACAGTAAAAACAATCTGATTGGTTAATTGTGTTTTCTTGAATCACAAAAAATTTCTTGCCCAACTGCAAGGTAGTTTACTAAGAGAAATGATCAAAAGTAAAAAAAAAAAAAAAATGCATTGAAAATATTTATTTTACACAAAGTAACTACTGACCCAATTTTTTTACAGTAAAATTATTTATATGCTGAATTCTTAGGACTTCTCTGAAGATGTTGAAGGCTGTGAGTGCTCCCCACTGTTCTCACTTCACACCGCTACATACTGTGCAACATTTTTTATTAAACATTAGACATTAACCTTTGAGGTCTTCTCTGGGTGTCCAGATCTGACCAACTGGACAGACTTTAGTGACACTAGCAGGAAGTGATTGTAGAGTGAACATCTACAACCGATTATCTTTAGGAGTCCCCCCAATACAAGATGGCCACCACAGCTAATCAACATTAGCCAACACAAATGGCTGTACGTCAGTTTGTGTTGCAGATTTCAGCTGATCACATGACGTACTTGAAGCGCTAACAGATCATTCAAGACTGAACATAAACTACAAAATTGATAAAAGTGGCTTTGACTCCGTTCCTCTCATTGTAAAAGGATCTGAGTCCAAATCGCCGGCATGAACGTCGATGGCTGATGTTAATTTCTTCAAGAAAGACTCGTCTTTAATTAAACTTGCTTAGGTTATAAATAGGTTATAACAATATTTGATTGACTTGATGCTGGGTAGTTAAATAATAAAGTTTTCTAATATAATAATAATAATGTTGATAAAAAGAGCAGGGACTACTCATAAAATCTGCCTGATGGACAAACCTTGTATTTTATTTGCAAGAAAAAAAGCACAAAAGTTTATTTTACGAAGTAACAGTAGTTCAAACAAACCTTCATTTATTTAATTTATGCTTTATAAAGATTTATACTTGATGACATTTCAAAATAGTAACAAACAGATGAATAAAATAAAGATGAATAAATTGTTAAAGGCTGTTTGACAACAAAAGATCCTCACAGGTCTTCAGTAATCAGTGGTCCTGCATGTTCTAGATGTTCCTCTGCATCACCTGCTTTAAATGATTAACGGGGCTGTGCTGACCTTCTTATCATCCACAGGATGTGATTCAATCGTTAGAATCAGGACAGCATCTGTTTCAGGGGCAACAGTTTGTTTCCAGAGGGCTAAATGAACATATTTAAAGCAATCAAAGAGAATCAAGAAAAAACTTTTCTTTAAGACGGATCATCTTGAAAACTATTGTCAGGTATTTTCTTGTTGTAGCAAAGTTAAAATGGATAATACCTTCAGGGATGTTCATTCAACATTTATCTGTACAGGTTAGTGTCATTAAGCCTCGAGGACTCATTTAGACATCTTCTCTGTAAACTGGCTCTTGTGACAATAAAAAGGAACCACATGTTTGCCTTTTGGAGTCTTTAAAGTTCTCTAAGATTCACACACACACACACACACATACAAAGTACACACATA